TTTTTGCAATTTATAAATATTAAGTTATTTGAATATTTTTTTAAAAAATTTATTATTCTAATTTTTTACAGATTAATTTCCAAATATTTATCGTACTTTTCAAAATTATGCTACCTCCTATAGACTATCAAATAAAAAAAATATTAGATTATAGGACGATTACTGGATAAAAATCGGATAATATTATCCTATAATCGTTCTGTAATCATCCTGCAATCATAATTACTCAATCATCACAACGTATACAGAATTCTGAAAACTGCAATAAAATAATAATAATAATAATATAAATTATATAGAATATAACTAATTTGCACTCAGTGTAAAATCATTTAGATAATATCACCTATTAATTTTTATTATATAAATTTATTTAATGTAGGTGATATTATCTGGTTAATTTTTTTATTAGAAATAGATAACTTGATATTTTTTAACATCTTTAATATTCTTTAATAATTTTTTATATTTTTAATGTTTTTTAATATCCTTTAATATTTTAATATTTTTTTTTTTCTTAATAGTCAAAGGAAATATCACATTTAATTTTTTATACAATATTATTATAATAAAATTTTTAATATAATATTGCCTTTAAATATAAAGTATATATATATAATTTAAAATTGACTAAAATTTATTAAACTTTTTTAAATTGCCAATTATTAAATTATAATTCTGAGCAAAATTTCTTAGTACTAATTAATTTTATAATGCCAACTTAAGTTTTATTAATTTTAAAAATTTTAATTAAAAATAATATTATATTTATATATATGAAAATTTCTAATTATCACCACAGTCCACAGGTGATATCACTGATATAAATAAATCATATAATCATGCTGCAATAATTGCAGTATCGCAGTAAATTTTATTTTTTATTAATAAATTAAAATTCTAATAACTATCTAAATACAATATTAATTTCTTTCACTAAAAATCTTACTTTTACAATTATGTAAATCATGACCTAAATTTTCACATCTCTTACATTTTCTTTGTTTCTTATTATTTCCATTATTATTATTTTCTGAAATATGTTATAATTCCAAATTAATAGTTATTTTTTGCTTTTTCACTCAGATATTGATTTGGAGGACGTCCATACCTTCTTGAAGTTACTGGATTAGAACAAATAATATTAGATTCATTATTTCTTTACTATTCTTTTTATAGAGTAATTCTTGCTTTTTTTCATCTATAAACATTTGAAATTTCAATAAATATTTCATTTTATACATTTTTAATTATGAGTTGGAGTAAAGTTTGTAATTGTCATAATTATCTTTACAGAAACTCTTCTTATGATCATCATAATCTGTATTATAATAATGTAAAAAGCAATAAAGTATTAGTGATATATAACAAAGAAATCCATACAATAATCATACCCTAATCCAGGACTTTGCTTACTTACAAGATAGGTCACCCCCAGGCTTAAGGTAAAAATCATATATAAAATTCTTTACAGATCCTACTATAAAAGGAAATTTTATGTTACATTGTTATGATTTTTTTCCTTTTTAGCTAATTAACCAATAGAATTTAAGAAAAAAGTAAGGTAAAAACTATTAATAAAGGGCCAATTTTCTACAGTAATCTTTATTATAAGTAAGCAGGGTTCTCATAATCCACATCCTAATCCTTACCCTAATCTTTACCAGGACCCTGCTTACTTATAAGATAGGTCACCCCCAGGCTTAAGGTAAAAATCATATATAAAATTCTTTGCAGATCCTACTATAAAAGGAAATTTTATGTTACATTGTTATGATTTTTTTCCTTTTTAGCTAATTAACCAATAGAATTTAAGAAAAAAGTAAGGTAAAAACTATTAGTAAAAGACTAATTTTCTACAGTGACCTTTATTATAAGTAAGCGGGATCTTTTTTTACCCTAATCAATACCTTAATTCACGTCCTAATCCTTACCTTAATTTTTACCCTAATCCATATCCTAATCCTTATCTTAATCATTACCCTAATCCACACCTTAATCTTTACCCTAATTTTTATTCTAATCCACACTCTAATCCTTATCCTAATTCATACCATAAGTTCTTCATTTAATTTTATGCTTATTTTGCTTTATTGTTAAACTTTTCATTTCATTTGGACTTAAATGATATTCAACTCTTGCTTTTTTATAGAAAAATTCTTCTTGCAAAGCATATCATTTCAGATAACCTTCTAGTTCTTCCCATTTCTGAAACTTTGCACCTAAAATCAACATAATACGAAGTTCATTTTTCTTATCACTAAAAGTGAAATTTTCATTAACATATTCACAACAATCCATTATTAAAATGTGTAATGAAAAAAAAGGAGGTAAGTTGACGAAAAAGAAAAAAAATTAAAAAAGGCAATTCGTGAGAAAAAAAGTTTATTAATAGTTTAATCAAATAATATCATAATAATAATTCACATGATCAGGTAAAATCACCTGTGGTGATGGCTAGTTTTTTTCTTTATATATAATATTTTTTTAGTATATATTTTATTATTTATAGAGTTTTTAAAAATATTTTTATAACTTTTAAATATTAAAAATTTTAATTTAATAAATTTAATCAGTTTAATAAATATTGTCAATTATTTTATAATAAATTGTAAACTGAAAAAAAAAATTTTTATCCTAATTTGTTTTTTTATTTTATTTTATATATTTAATATATATCTTTTATTTTATTAATATAATTTTAGTTATAACAGTTATAGAAAAATACCACATATTTATTAAATAAATGATTTACTTAATTTACTTAATATCAATCACAAAAAGCCTGATCAGGTTAAATTGTTAAAATATAGTAATCTTAACAATTCTGATTAATATACATAAGTTTCAAAAATATATACTTAGATTTAAATAGTCACTAATGTTTAGTATTACATTAATGTTTATTTAAATTTTTTTACATAAACTACCAAATTATATCATCAAATCCTAGTTATTTTATAATATTGATAATAGCTATTAAACCAATACTAAAATATGACTGCATAATTTTCTAGTAGCTAATATATTATTTTTGTAGCAAATTACTGCTATTTGAATTCTTTTACCAATTGAATGCAAATTAGTAAAAAGTAAATTGATACCATTCCAAAATTCTAACAATTTGTCAATAATTGGACTAAGATAATGATTTATTTTGTGTAATTTTAACTTTTCTGGTTCTAGAAGAAGTTCAAATATAGTATGTTTTCTTGTTTAAATATAATTTCACAAAAAAGATTATATATAGCTGTAAGTTAACAAATTAAATGGTTAGAACTAGTCTAAATTAATCATGATCTTAAGATTAGAATTAGTTGTTTTATTTGTAAAAATCAAGTATCCAGATTGTTTAGAAAAAATATAAATATTTTTTATATTTTTTTATTATATTAGATTTGTTATATTAATCCAATTTGATCATTTTTAAAGTAATTTACAAAATCTGAATACTGATATATTGATATTATTTAGGTTTTTAGAGATAGTATTAGAAATAATATTTTAAATTTTTTGGCAAATCTGTTAACAATCAGGATCTTATTTATTAATTTTACTTTATAAGCTTATTTTTTGCTATACTTTAGATAATTTAAAAACTCCATATAAATATATCTGAACTCTATATTTTGATTTTATGTTAAAATTTCTAAAACATTATATATAGTATTATAATCTGAATATACTATATATTTCTTTTTTTATTTAACGATTTTTTAAATTTTTTTTGCTAAGATGATATAGAAAATTTTTCAAATCACCATTTATCAGCATCTAATAAAACCATTTTAAAAAATCCAATAAGTGAATTGATAGCAACATCTGAAAGATGAAATTTCACCTGGTATTTAAATATCCATAAAAGTATCTACAAATCATTGAAGTCAATATTTGTATCAAGATTTTAAGATCTGATTTATAATTATAATTATTAAAATTAGAAACTGTAAATTGTTTGATTGCAATTCATCTTCACTTAAACCACAGTTATCATTTTCAGATACCTTAGAAGTCCTATTATTATCTTTATCAAGGATTTATTACTATCACTTTCTGTTAAAGACCTGTTAGTTAAAGAACTATTATTATCATTATTATCAAGAATCTTATTGGTATGCTTTCATCTTTCTGGTTTCTTTGGCATCAATTCATTATTAGTTAAAAGTGATTTATTATTATCATTATTATCTGATAAATATTCTACCACTCTAATTCTTCTTTTTCCTTTTTTATTGAAAGATTCTACATTATATGATTTATTTCTGGTACTTTTTAGTTGAGAAGAATTCTGAAATCCAGTAGTAATTGTTTGAAATCTGTCAACTTCTTCTGAATGTTCTGGGATTCACTAACTTACTACTACCATAACACAACAAACAATTGCATTCAATAAAATTTCTAGTTTTAGATGCACTTTTGAACAATCTTTATTAATGCAATTTTTCTTTGATCTTGTCATCTTCAATCTGTCAATTTGTAATCAAAATTTTCTCAAAATATACCAATCAGCTTATTCACAATTAATTATTTAAAATATATCAATCAGTTGATTTGCAAGAGAATTTGATTAATTGACTTTGTGATAATTCATTATTAATAATTGTATACATCAAAATTGAATTGTGCAAATATTATTATAATTAGATAAATTGAACTATTTTATTTTAATCAGTTAATAAAAAAGAATAAAGATTGCAACAATTGATACAATTTGCTTTTAAATATGTCAATTGATTTATTTATTAGAGTTTAAAATTTAAATGCACCTGTATTTGAAGATTAAACCTTTCTGTTATAGTAAGTAAAGTTGTAGAGGAGGCAAAAATACATATATAACGTGAGTTTATTTATAAGTGTATAAGGTATAATCTATCAATAGTAAATTAATCCTGAAGATGCACATATTTCCATATTATTAACACCTCATCAATATCGTAATGCTAATATTTTATTATAATAAACGTATTGAAATAAAGCATGCTATGAATTGCACAGTTAATTTAATCATCATTCTCATGCAAAAATGAACTCCGAATTTTGGCAAATGCTGTCAATACACTTCGTCGTCCATTTGGCTCTGCGAGATCGAAACCAGCTCTCAAATCATTATTAGCCGGCCATCTTTGAATCTTAACTGACTGTCGTTGTGGTAGGCCTTTATCAAGCTCCATTAGATACCTTGCAGGAATCTCAGCTTTATAAAAAGTAACGTACGTAGAAATTACACGAACTACCCATAACATCTGATCTGCATATTTCCGTTTGCCAAGGGAACGTATATTCTCACTAACACAAGAACTTCCGCAGAGATTTGCGTTTCCCCAAATCCAGTACTTGGTCCAACATTTTTTACCTTCGATGATGAACGACATAATGGTAAACCTATTACTATGATAGAAATATCGCCAAATGAAAACTACTTTATTCATTTAACCCAAAAAATATAGTTTATTCTTTTTTTTTTGGTTTGGGTCATTTTCAAGTGTTTATCCTGTAAAAAAGATTGTTTGAGTCAACAAAAATAATACCTGTAAAATAGTAAACATCAATAACAGACCTCTACTACAAGGATAGAAAATTATTCGATATTATCGTCTTCCATATTTATTACAAATTCAGAGTCCGATGATACGTAAGGATCATCTTCAATGTATAATTTGCATAGTGGGTGATTGCTAGAGTTTGGAAATTGCAATTTTAGGAATCATTGTATTTATTTATCAAAAACAGAAGTTGAAGAAAGTAGAAGCTACCCGATGCTAAAGGGCAAGTCATTCAGCTCAACGATACGAAGCAGATCATCTACAAGTGTATCTGTAAATTTCTCGGTTGTGCCTGTTAACTGAACACCATTCGTGACAAATTTATGCAATTTCTTAAAGAATGTTCGAACTTCTACATCCGTAAGTCCGGCGACATTTGCAACGCGGAATCTTAAATTTGAAAGCATTTCACCATTGATATTAGGTTGAATATACGTGTCTGGAATGGTAACTGGAAAAATACTTAATTATGAATATTAGTGTCACTGAGAGGATTACTGGTACAATATCACTCATACCTTCAACATCAGGAATAACAGCATTCTCGGCTGGGGCTTCACAAAAGTTCACTCTTAATGCCTCCATATCTTAGAGATGCCGAAGAGGGCAGGTCCTCCATGCCATAACTAAAACTAAAAGTGGAATTAAGCCCAAGGTCACGAATGGCGCTTGCAAGATCCGAAACTTGACTGGCAATACGTTCTTACCGTCGTTTAGGTGCAGAAGAGCTTTCACTTTCACTTTCGAATTTTTTTCGTTTCTGAGAGGCTATTTGTGTGGCCTGTTTCCGTGAAGTTTTTTGTGCAGTCTCTCCCGGAGAACCCTCGCTCTCACTTTCATTTTTTCGTTTCTTTGTGTGATTTTTGCTAGAGAACTCTCACTTGTACTTTCGACATTTTTGTGGTACTTTTTTGGATGACTCTCACTTCCGACATTTTTTTGTTTCTTCTGTTTTTTTTTCTTTTTTCGAAGACATCCCGTAACACAGTGTGACAAAAAATAGAAGCTATCGTGAGAAACGAGAGAAAGTAATCCTTTCATACTCATGATTTCATTGATTTGAAATTATACTAGTTCGCGTTCGCGTTTGTATTACATAAAATGTGTCATCTACGTATCTTGCCTAATACGGAAAAACAATGCCAGCCGTATCTTTGGCCTGAAATGGTGTCTACAACACGCTCTCGCAAAGCCAGAGATAGTATGTCGTACACGTGTAAGAAAGATACATTTGCGCCTTTTACACTACTACTATCAGATTGGCAGAACAGGACCAAAATTCCGAATATGCATCTCTGCAGTCCAACTGTAAGATACTTATGGCTGGAGTTCGTTGAAACGGAAGCCGGGTTTAAGAGGAGTAAAGGACCCTAATGCGTATCTGTTCTGTTGAATTCTGTGTTTATGGCTAGAGTTCGTTGAAATGGAAGCCGGGTATAAAAGGACCCTAAGGCACGCACGAGCAGTTGTATATTCTGGGCGTAGATGTCTATATCTAATAAGATGGTTTGTAGTAAATAGTGTCTCAAAGCTGTGATGATTTCAAAATTTCCTTTTTTCATTGATGTAGCTTTGATTTACATGCTTATCATCTAAACTTATTCCTGTGTACTGATGCCTATATGTTCGCGGAGCAAATACGCGTACAAATTGACTTCAACGAACTCCTTGAAGTTGGAGATCCTTAGAAAAATTGCTCTAATTTGTCTTTGTCTTTTCGCAATTGTTACGCAACATGGTACTGTAAGGTTTCAGAGTGGTTAATTTGCGGAGTTCGCAGTATTTCAAGCAATCTAGAAGAAAAGGTTGATTATTTTTGTCTATAAGAAACGGGTTTCGTATTTCGCTTATTTCATTTCTAATTTTATTATTTTTTTTTTTTACAGAATATCGGAGTAGATTATATCATAATAAAGAGATTACGCGGATCCTAGGCCATGTAATGAGAGTCCCTGCGTCATATTATTTCTCTAATATTAATGCTTTGCTATCAGATTTCCGAAATGAACTAAACGACAATTCCCACCCACATATTCCTTCCCTATAGATAATATATTTCCGCAACTATATCTACACTTCATTTCTATAACATTCCCTCTCACATAGACCATATAGAAAATTTTAGCTAAGTTACGCAAGAGAACTTTTCCGGATTTTGGACCAGCTTAGTATCTCTTTTTGATTAGCTTTCATTGCGAGACCTTCTGTATCGCTGGCTCTTTGATATAAGTGAATGATATTTTCCTTACCCGAGGTAAGCGAAATTTCTGGGGGGGTCGAGAGGCAATGCGCATGTGGAGTTATAATCCTGAATAGATGAAGGAGTACCGGATTCATTAAAGTTACGAGAAATTTCTTGAATTAATCCCTGTCCATTTTTTGCACTCACGGGTTTTTCAGAAAAGATATTACCAGAAGTAACTGTATCAGATATTTTTTGTAATGATACTTGATCTTGCCCTGCTTTACTAAGTTTCTTTTCCTTATTTCGTTTCCTAATCTCGTCGCTAATACTTTTCTTATGGACCTCATCCAAGAAACATCCTTCTCCATTTCCTCTGATGTCTTGGTGTCGACATTATTGTGCTGGTCTGTTTGCTTTAGCGAACCTGATATATCAATAGCTGATACCTCCGATATCACTTCCTGATCATTCTGTGGTTGTCCATCCACTACCGCTCAGTGGTACGCTGTCTCAATATTTCAAGCTCTGATGACATGATCTACACTGTTTAAGCTGTTTAAGCACTGACATATTGATCATTTTGCCGATCATTTTCCGATGTTGTTACATTAGAAGAGGTGTCTATTTTTTATATTAATGGAAACTTTTACATAAAAATTCTACAGATCATTTAATCACAAGCTAACATATTCCAAAAATGTGATATATTTTTTTTGCAAAAATCGAAACATTATTGAGAATTTACTGATATAAATAGTGATTTAGCATTATTTATTAAATTTCATATCATTAATTTCGCAGCAATAATTTATTAAATTTCGTAATTTTGTAACGCAATTTAGAAATTCAATGACATTAAATTCAATAAATTTTGTGTATATTAATTTGTGACATTAATTTATTAAATTTATTGTACAACTTATTAATAATTAACCTGTATTATGGAACAGATTACTTTATTATTTTTACAATTTTACTATAGATTATATATAATATAGGAAATATTTATGCAAAGTTTCAAGTTTCGGACATGCGTATTCACCTTCACCCACCAATTTTTATCCGATGACCCCAAATCATCACATATATACTAGGAAACGGAAACCGTTGTAAGTCCAGAGCGAAAGATTTTGTACAAAAATCCAAATATCTTTAAAAATTCAATTTGTACAAAAAATCTGGCATCCTTAAAAAAAATAAAAAATGAAACGTTAGAAACATTTCTTTAAAGTTAAACAAATAAGAAAAGCCCCTCTTCACAATTTACCTTTAAAAGTCCAGCATATACAAAAAACCCGCATTCCTAGATAAAAAAAATAAAAATGAAACGTTATTAAAAATGTTTCTTTAAAGCAAAACAAATAAAAAACAACTTACCAGTCAAGAAATCTAGAAACCCTAGGATAAAAGTAAGAAATGAAACATTAGAAATGTTTCTTTAAAGTCAAACAAATAAGAAAAGCCAAATTACCTTTAAAAATCTGGCGTGTACAAAAATCCCGTGTCTCTAGAAATAATAATAAGTGAAACGTTAGAAACGTTTCTTTAAAGCAAAACAAATAAAAAAACAACTTACCAGTCCAGTATATACAAGAAATCCAGAAACCCTAGAAAAAGAATAAGAAATAAATCAAAAACATTCCTTTGAAGTCAATTAAAAAAAAATATACTCACTAGACGAAACCAAACAAAAAAAGTGATTATCAGGTAATCATGTTTATCATAAACTTATTATGATTATTACACTTGTTTATTTTTGAAGTAGCACGAAATTTCAATGACACAATCTGTGCAGACTAATCAGAAATGACAAACAGACATCGCCACGTGATCCAATATGTCATTAAGGTTCATAAATATATATAGTCCTTCGCTTCGCTCTGGACAATAACATATATACTTTTATTGATGTAATTTTAATATATCTTGTTATATTAAATAATATTTTACCAAGTTATTTGTTATTTTTAATAAATTGAAAGTCTGTTTAAGTACTGTATTCAAAATTAAAAGATTCATGGCAACACGAGGTCAGAGAAAATTTGCCAAGAAAAAATTTTTATTAATACAGTACATGCAAAAAAGAAATACAAAGCTCAGGACTTTGCTACTAGTTTTAGACATAGTGCTTAAAGATGGTCTTATCAGCTCAGGACTTATGGTCTTTTTGGTCTTAAGACCAAAAAGACTGGACCAAAAAGACTGCAAACTCTTATGGCCCTAAATGGTCTTTACAAATAGCAATAAGACCGCCAGTCTTTTTAGGACTGCAGTCTTTAAAAGACTATAAAATATTTTATTATTATCATAATAATTTATTATTATTTATTTTAATTTTATTGTAAAATATTAGTTAGATAGTAATTATTAATTATATTTAATATATGTCTTTATTAATAATTTTAATATATTGATGTACAACTGAATTTGTTATAAACTAACTAATATTGTTCATTTTATATCTAAACCAATAAAGTATACATTCAAAATTTGATTTTTTCTTATTCTGACCATGATTTTAAGCATAAGCATGCTCATGTTGTATCTGGATGCAATCTATTTCATGTTCAAGTTATCTGTTTTCCAGCAACTGAGAAAAACTGCTCACAGGAAACAGATGTTAACATTATGAACAAATAGTCTTTTACCATTTTGGACAATTTTGGGTACTCAATTGCATAAATCCTTTACCATTCCATTGGCATTACTTCATTACTAGAAGAATTAGAATTAAAATAATTATCTAATTCATTTGTACTAATAAATTGCTGCTGATTTTGAATAGGTATAAAAAGATTCTAAAAATAATTTTGTGTTTCTGATGTTATCATGTTATTAAGTTAAAATTGTAAATTTTTTATAATTTTATTTTCAGAATACTGGTAAAAAAATGATCTATTTTACACATATCTTACATATTAAATACTCAAAATGTAAAATATGTGTAAGATATATGTAGGATAGATCATTTTTTTACTAGTGGAAGCAATAGGTATAAATAATTCTTCATAATAATCAGCTATTATAACTTTAATTAGTTGAAGTATACTTTCTTAAGACATATTTTTATAAGTTTTTTTTTGTAATGTAAGTTAAAGAATGCTGGAATATAAAGCAAATTATTAATTTGTTCAAAGTAATTAGGGTGCTATCAGATATTACCTAATATTTTAGGGGGAGGGAGGGTAACTAAAGATCTTAGGTTACATACAATACTATATAAGGAATTATATATATAACATATCTTACCTAGGGAAGAGGGAGTAAGTTCTTATATTAAAGTGATATTAGGTAATATTTGACAGTGCCCTTATATCTAACTGTTTTAAATTTTTATATATTATTTATCTTAATATTATTTTATAATATATTCTTTTAATACTAATTAAAAATTAAAGATAAACTTATATAATAAGGTAAAATTTGGCAAAAAAATATACACTTTTTCATTACTATTAATATACATAGAAATATTTTTAAAAAAATAAAAAACTACATTATTAAATATTACTTTTTAAATTACAAAATTAGTATAAATAGTAGAAAACCAATTTTTTTATTAAAATTTTATATTTATATCTTTTAAAATAAATTCAAGATGGCAATAATAAATTTTTAAAAATTTTTAATATAAGAAATATAATCTTAATTATAATTATTTAGAGTTCTGACACAATACTTAGTGATGATTAGTCAGTTTTTCAATTTTAAATGATCCTATTCAGTTTTTGAAAAAGTTATAAAAAATGTATTCTTAAATTTTTAGGATGTGTGCAACAAATACTATAGTTAAGACTAATAAATGCTAAAATTTGACTTTTATACTTTTTTTTTAAAAATTAGCAAAGGTAAAATTAACCAAAGACTGAAAAAAACAACAAATACTAGTTTTAGTAAAATAAAAACATTCAAAAACCTCCCTAATTCTATATTGAATGGTTAGATTAAGACTAAAATTTATCACTTTTTTATACCATAAAAAATTGTAAACATAGCATTATTACTTTTCTGAAAATTTTTTAAAGACTATCAAAACTGATCAAAAATCACAAGACTAACTGATCATTTTGAATAATACTATAAAGGTATAGTAAACTTTTTTGAAAACTTTACTAGATATCAGATATATATTGGTCAAATATTAAAATATTAGTAATATGTCAATTACCTAATAATTATATACCTGATAATCCATATATTATATTCTGATATTTTAGGATTAATAATCCTGATATGATTTTTATAAATAATACAAATAGTTACACATAAATTATATATAAATTACATATCAGTTTATAAATAACTTTTTATATTTATATTATATTTCATCTTCTATTTTTATTCAATATCTCATTTTTGAAGAATATTATATAATAAATCAATTTAAAAGGTTTAAAAAAAATCAAAATTTAAGAATTTTAATGATATTAGTATTATTTGTATTTTACAATTAAATATAAGTAAGGATTAATAATATTATAATATTAATATAATTGATATGTACAAATGTAGTTAGATTATTATACTTGCAAATTTAATCATTTCAAACTCATTAAATTCAAGTTGAATTTGAATTTAAATTTGTATTGATGGAATTGTTAATTTTTATTAGATTTAACTTAATTAAATATAATCTAATTTTATAATTAGAAATAAATGAATTAAATGATTAATAAATTTATAATATTTAGTTAAAATAAATTAGTTTGTGAATTCAAATTGAATTTAAATTGAACTCAAATTTGACATAATTGAATTTATTTGATATTTTAGATAATAACTTTTTATTTGTAATTATCTGATATAAATATATTTGCAAGAGCATCTTAATCTTATTGCTTGCATTAGTTGCATATATTATTTTTAATTTTTAAATAAAAAAGAAATTTATGTTTGCAGATATCTTAAATATATTACTTGTATATATTATTTTAAATGTTTAACTAAAATAAATAGAATTTCAAATTAGAAAAAATATTTATAAAGGAAATATATATCTTTTTTTTTTTTAAAAAAAAAATCATTTATTAATAACCTTTTTTAAAAAAATAATTTGTATTTAAAAAATTTAATCATAAATGGTTCTGTATAGCAACCAATTACTTGATAAGACAAAGAAGGTAAACTTTTTTAAATGTCTTCTTTCTTTTATGTTACTTATATTATTCTTTTATCTAATAATTTAATAAATAACAATAATGTCACTGGTAAAAAAATGATTTATCCTACACATATCTTACACATATTGGGTACTTAAAATGTAGAAAATCATACACAAATAATACACATATCATACACATATCGGGTACTAATATATATATCATACATATATCAGGTACCTGATAGGTATACTATATATATAAGTACCCGATATGTATATGATATGTGTATTATTTGTGTATGATTTTCTACATTTTGAGTACCCGATATATGTAAGATATGTGTAGGATATGTGTAGGATAGACCATTTTTTTACCAGTGTGTAAAGATATAATAATGAGCATTACTATATATGCCACCCAAATTATTTTGGACTGCCGTAATTATAAGTAAAATCCCAAATTCAATTATGGCATCCCAAATTATTTTGGCACTTTACATAGTAAATTATATATAAACCGAATGAATTATGGCATCCCAAAATAATTTGGGCAGCATGTATAAGTATTACCATATAGGGATTGAAATCGATTCCCATTATTAGAATCAATTCTAAAATCAATTTAATCACGATTAATCATTTCGCAAATACTGATTTTTTTTATACTATTTATAATAGGGGTGTTTAAACACATATCACGTGATTACAAATTAACTGTGATTAACAAATAAATTTCCTTTTTGGAAATTTGTACAACCTTGTGCGATAGCAATTTGAATTTTATTGGGAGATAAAATTTCCTTTTTAGGAAGTTTGTGTTCTATCACGTGATTCGCGGCTGGAATTATGAATTTGGCTAAAATTAAGGGATCCGCCCTTGTAAACTATTATGAACAAATAATAATTTATGGTCATTAATTAACGAAACTGAGTAGATTTGATTTTTATTCGAGATTTGATTTAAAATCGATTCTTATCAATTTTCAATAGTTTTGATTTTAATCGAATCTTTTCTGATTTCTATTACCATAATATAGATGGTAGAAGCAAAGTCATCTTTAGGGAGATAACTGCAAGGTGACTTTACCAGAATCTACAATTTTATTGCTTTACTAGACAGTATGAGCAATGATTCTGAAATTTAGTTTGGAATTTCAATATTAATAAAGCAATAATAAAATAAAGAAAATAAAAAAAATGTATTAACTGTGTTGATATTTTTAGGATTTTATTGAATGGAAGAATATAAATTTTAAAAGTTGTTTATTTCAGGGGTATTTTTTCAAATTTTCTTATCCTACATATATGCCAAAGCATCATTTCAGATTTTTCAGAGCAGTTTTTCAGGATTCTAAACATCTTTCATTTAATTCAGTAAATATATAATTATAGTTAAATTTTTAACCTATAATAACTCAGCTAATACCAGTGCTAGAAATGCAATTTTACTGTCATTAGATTCCTTTCATTAAAATGATATAAATTCATTAAAATCCAATAAGTAGATTATTTAAAAACAGGGGATGTGTAGGATAGAAAATTTGAAAAAATGCCCCTGAAATAATTAACTTTTGAAAATTTTATATGACCAATAAGCAACTTTTACAGCTAGCCTATATATATATTATTCGGGATCCTAGTTCTTCTTCCAAGAATGTTTGCATTTCTTTGCATTTTACAATCTTTTACTTGGTTATAAAGGCACTGCATTGATAGTGTCAATTTTGCTTTTATTCTGCTACTTGACTGTTTGTTACTTTCTGGCATCATTTTTTCTGGCATCATTGATTTTTTCCTGCATCAAATTGATATATTTTCTATTTTTCCTTTTTGTCTCTGTCTTTTCTTTGGTTCATTGAAACATTGAATTCACAGTTGTCAGGATACATAATGTGTCATAGCGTTCCCAGTGTTGGCTTTTTGCTGAACAAAAGGACATTGGGCAGTATTATTGAGTCAACCGCAAATTTACGTAGCTGCTGTAACTTATGATCATGATAGTAAAACTATTGCGATGGGTATAAGCATCATTGAAATTTTATATTTTGTAAATATTTACTTATTTATTTTATTTATTTCCAATATATCTTAGTTATTACATCTTTTTTGAACCCATTTATATGTATGTGTATTGAGTCAAGAAATCGGTAACTACCATTCATTTAATGTCATCCTCGGTTCACAAATTTTTTTGATTCCACATCCCGATGTAGCCAAACAAATAAATATATTATACTCAACGTGTTAAGAACATAACTCCCAGCGCATATAGGCGCAGTTGAAATAGTATAATAACAGCTTATATTACTTTATAATACTATAATACTATGTTTTATAGATCATGTCATCATCCGTTGGCTTTTATGATTTTTCGTGAACATTGATTTTTTTATCAATTTGATCAATTTGACTAATATTATTTATTAGAGTGTGACGTATAAAATTTATCGGCTATTTACTACGTAAATCAAAGATAAATGTAAAGGTTAAAAACATCTACAAACTATCTAGTGAGCGAGATAAAATAGGCTATGTAATAATAATTATGATCAGTGCCGAAGCTGTGACACTAGTCTTTTTGAAAGGATAATATGACTGACATATGTGACAAATTTCTGTAGTGGAACACAGAACAGCCCAAGGCTTAGCATCACGTGATTAATATCGCTAACCAAAAAAATTCTTTCTAGAAGTTTTAAGCGTTTAAAATAAATGTGGCTAAATTTTATTTCTGCAAAGCACAATATGTCATGCACTTTATTCTATGCGAAACATCAAATTTTGAAATATATTTATTTGTGGGGAAGGCTATAGTGACACGTCCTTTCGCTTTCGTATTTCTTTATGAAAAATCTTACGAGTTTGGTAGTTTGAAAAATCAGATTCGACGATCGTCATATGTCAATTGTCAATTCACTTATCGTAATTATTAAAACCTAATTATTTATATGTAAATATATTGTGTATCAGAAGGATTGTGCCACGATGAACAAGGGTGTTAGATATTTAGATATTCCGAGTACAACATTTCACAAAAAACCTGACAAATGTATAAATTTATTTTCCTCCCTCATTTGAAAAAAAATTTTTTTATTTATTTCCTTTTTTTTTTAAAAAAAAAAAAAAATTTTTACGCAAGAAATTAATTAATTAAGCAATGGAGAATACAACCAATTTATTAAAACAAGTTATAGAAGAGGGACACGTAAAATTTCATGCGTATGATGAATTTTCAGATATAGAAGTAATTGAGAGAGGATCATTAGGAGCTGTATATAAAGCAACGTGGAATGATCATGGAATGATTGTTGCATTAAAAAGTAAATTCATCAAAAAAGAAGGAAATAGTAAAACTGATACGCAACTCTTAGATAAATTTATCAATGATGTAGGTATATCATCTTTTTTTATTTGTTAATAAATTTATACCAATATACTTATTGTTTTTTTTTAATTTAGATGAAATTGCATAAGAAAGTTGATTATCATCCTAATATATTACAATTTTATGGAATTAGTCAAGGTATTAAAGTTTGAAGTTGTAATTATTTCGATAGCCCTACGATATTTCTACTAATATATTTAATTAACCCCTCCTTTTTTAAATACGTTTGAACGTAACAATAGAACCAAACCTTAATAAATATTTATTAATGATGGATTATGCAGATGGTGGAACACTTGGTCATTATTTAAGTAAAAATTTTACATCATTATCATGGACTGATAAATTAAATTTTGCAAAACAGTTAGCAAGTGGTGTAGCATGTTTACATAAAGAGAAAATAATTCATCGAGATTTGGTAAGAATAAGTTTTAAATACTTTTATTCTATTTATTTATTTTCTCACAATTTAAAAACAAATTTCTTATAGAATTCTAGTAATATATTAATAAGAGAAGGTGTAATTAAAATAAGTAATTTTGGATCTTCAAGACAATTAAGTGAAACGTCCAAATCATCATCAGATTTAAAAGGATATATAATGTACATTGAACCACGAAGTTTGAAAAATTCCCAATATAGAAGAAACGATAAATCAGATGTATATAGTGTTGGGGTTTTATTATGGGAATTATCGAGTGGTAGACCACCATTTAAATCGACTTCTTCTTCAACATCATTAACTCAATTAGAACTTGCTAATAAAATATCAAACGGACAAAGAGAACGTCCTATTAAAGGAACACCACAAGCTTATATTGATATTTATTCTCAATGTTGGGATGGCGTTCCAAATCAGCGTCCTAATATCTTTCAAGTATTAGAAAAGCTTAACGGGATTACTCTTGAGAATACACGAGAGAAAAGTCTTGGGAAATCTATTTCCGAAAAGAAGATTAAAAGTAATGATAGCACAACACAAAAGAGGAGAATCACTGATAGGAAGAGTATTTCATCTATTTCGGACATTTCATCAGATTTATTAAATACGATGAATCAAAAAAGTAATCATTCAGTAAGGAGGAGCATACACTCGATATCCATATCAAATCTCAATTACGACTTCAACAGCAATTCTTCCCCACTAAAAAGTCCGAAATTGCCTAATTCTCGTCGTAGTTCAACTAATTCAATTAATTCACCTCCAACTTCTCCCACAACATTGACACAAAATAAAAAAATAATTGCAAATACAGATAAAGCATTCTTTGAGGAAATATTAAAATTCTTTGAAGAAATATTAGAAATAAGTGGAGATACAAATACAATGATACAAAGTTTAAAAGAATATTTACATAATCGTATGAGAGAACACAAATCAACATTTAAGTCGTTACGAAGACATCGTGATGACTTAAGATTTTCTTGTTTAATTGGATTTTTCTTTGAAAATGCTATTGGTACAGCACAAGATAAACAAGAAGCTTTCAATCATTATAAGAAATCATCGGATTCAAATGATTCCATTGGCCAATATTTTTTAGGCAGATGTTATTATTGGGGTTATGGTATTAAACAAGATAGGAAGAAAGCATATGAATTACTTAAAAAAAGTAGTGATAGTGGTAATAGTAGAGGACAATGGATGTTAGGATATTGCTATGAAAGAGGTTATGGTACTACCAAAAATCTTCAAAGTGCCTTTGATCAATTTTTAGCTAGTGCTGAAGCTGGTAATGTTACTTCTCAAATGGATTTAGGTAGATGTTATGAAGATGGCATTGGTATTAAAAAGAATATTCCTAAAGCTATAGAATGTTATGAAAAAGCTTCTAAAGGTGGTCTCGCTCTTGCTCAAAAAAAATTGGATAATTTATTAAAACAACAACGCCGACTTCAAAGCGCCACTAAAAAACAACCACAACACCTACAACAACTGCAACTATCTGAAAGTACTGTAAACGCTATTTAGTTTATTGTAATTTTGTATTATTATAGTCAATAATAAAGAAAAATAGTTTTTTTATTTCATCAAATAAAAATTATTTTTTAATGTTTCGTAGTTGATTTAGTTGTTTCTCGCGCCGCGAATATTAGAAATAGGTCATTTGAAATTTTGCGTAAATACTTTAATAAAGTTTAAAGTTACTTTAGTTTTACGTTTTTTACTACTTGGTATACTTCATAATCTTCCAAAATGTATTCTCCAATACTTATACTCACGCATATTGAATATGTATAATTACTACATATCTTAATAATGTTACGCTCTATAATTAAATCCCATCCGCCACCAAAAGCAGGACCATATTTTAAATCATAACTTACTGCAGAATTTTTATTACTTTTAACTCTTGTTATAAATGCCGAATTAATTTCTTCCTTTTTTATAAAAGAAAATAAGAAACTATCTAGTGTAGATTGCCAAGTTCCATTATTTTGAACAATAGTACTATAACGTTGCCAACTTAATGGATTATAACCTCCAATTAACCGGCCATTTTCTTTTAATTTTGATATCATAATGGTTGAACCTTTGTTATCACATAATTCATGAAATTTTGCAGCCTCGAATCCATCTCTACTTGCACGATAAAGAAGTTTGAATAGATAAGGAGTACTTTTAGTGTCATAAAAAGACTTTTCTTTTTTATCAATCCAGCTTGCAATTATTGATAAATGATCTCTTTCGATAAGAACAGAGTCAATATAAGATAAATTCCGTCTTAAAGGTAATACTGCATTAACTGGTGGCGTGTCAGGATCAAAATGATACCCAATAATATCTTTATAAAGTTGTTTTGGAAATATTGGCTCAAATTGATTAACCTTTCTCCAAAAAACTTTTGCAGGAATTTGAAACCATCTAATATGTGGAATTAAATCGTGTAGAATTTTTTCCAATTCTTTAAAGTTACTTGATGTCCATTGAGATAAGTTATCAACATTATATTGAGTTGACATTCTCGCAAGAGCCCATTTAAGTACAAATTCCCAAATTTCAATTTCTTCCATTTCAAGTTCATTATTTTTTAAGAAAAGAATGATAAGATCCGTTTCCAATGAAGTGAATTTTGGAGATTCAAAAAGTATTTTAGGATTTTCACAGATAGAATTTAAACAAAATTTACGTAAATCTTCACATCCCCCATGCCGAAATATAATTTGAAGAATGTCAACGGGATCATTTTTTAAATATTCTACTCGGTTATCAATCCAACAAGTTTGAATATAATCACTTAATTTTTGCAAATTCAATTCATCAGATGCCATTAAAAGTTTTAACATTTGTGATCCATTTTGTTTATTAAAATTAACTAATCCAGTATATATATATTTTAAAATTAATTCAACGATTTCTGGAGAAATATTTGGCTTTTTAAAAATAATAATTCCATTTTCTTTTTTTGCCCATTCTTTTGATAATGCAGTTCTAAAATATGTTGACCTAGCACTTAATATTAATGAATGTGCAAAGAATTCTTTCATATTTTGACCTTCTCCAGCTTGAATAATTAAATCATAATTATCTCCAGAAATAAGAAGTTGACCAATATCTTGTGATAAATCTAATAACAAGTTTTCCGCCATTTATTTTCAAAAAATTTAACGTTGGAAAAGAATTGTTGCACTAAACTTTATAATAAATAAATGAAGATCGTATATCATGTGATATGTAACCGCGGATCAATTTAATTAAATTCCATCCACTACCACATAATTTAAATGATAACATACTGCATAAATTTGATAATTATTATCACCTGTAACTCTGTTAAAAATGTCGAATTAATTTCTTCCTTTTTGTAAAAGAAAATAAGAAACTATCTTATCTGGTGTTAATTGCCAAGTTCCATTATTTGAACATGACTATTATAAGGATGCCAGCTTAATGGATTATAATCTCCCATTTTCTTTTGATTTTGATATTATAATAGTCGAACCTTTGTTATCACATAACTCATGAAATATTGCAGCTTCAAATCCGCGATAAAGACTTTTATTATTATAAAAAGATTTTTCCATTTTACCAACCCAGCTTGCAATTATAGATAAATGGATTTCTTTCGATAAGAACGGAATTAATATTAAATAAATTACGTCTTAAAGTTAGTATTGTATAATTGGTTGTGTGTCAGCCTGTCAGGGTCAACATGATATCCCATAATATCTTTATAAAGTTGGTTTAGAAATATTGGCTCAAATTGATTAACCTTTCTCCAAAAAACTTTTCCAGGGATTGAAACCATCTAATATGTGGAATTAAATCGTGTAGGATTCTTCAAAATTACTTGATGTCCATCGAGATAAGTTATCAACATTATCATGTTGAGTTGACATTCTTTCAAGAGCCCATTTAAGTATGGATTCCCAAATATCGATTTCTTCCATTTCAAGCTCATTACTTTTTAAGAAAAGAATAATAAGGTCTTTTTCTAATGAAGTGAATTTTGGAGATTTAATATTTTAGGATCTTTACAAATAGTATCTAAACAACATTTTACGTAAATTTTCACATCCCTCATGGCCTCATACCGAAATACATTCAAAGAACGTCAACAGGATCATTTTTAAATATCCTGCTTGATTATCAGTCGAATAAGTTTGAATAAAATCACTCAATTTTTGCAAATTCAATTCGTCAGATGCCATTAACATTTATGTTCCATTTTGTTTATTAAAATTAACTAATCCAGCATAAAGATATTTCAATAATTTCTGGATAATAATTCCATTTTCTTTTTTACCCATTCTTTTGATAATGCAGTTTTAAAATATGTTGACTTAACACTTAATATTAATGAATTCTTTCATACTTTGACCTTCTCCAGCTTGAATAATTAAATTATGGCCATAACAAGTTTTCCGCCATTTATTTTCAAAAATTAACGATAGAAAAAGAATTGTCGCACTAAACTTTATAATAAATAAATGAAGATTTGATATATAACGGCGAATCAATTTAATTTATTTTATCGTGTTTATTATCACTTTTTTACTACCTGATATACTTCATAATCTTCCAAAATATAATCTATTTCATATTTTATAATATTATATACGCCTGAATATATACCATTACCATATGTTTTAATAATATTATTATGCTCTATAATTAAATCCCATCCAATACCAAAAGCTGGTCCATAATTTAAATTATAAGATACTGCATAAATTTGATAATTATCATCGTCTTTAACTCTTGTTAAAGATGCCGAATTAATTTCTTCTTTTTTTGCAAAAGAGAATAAGAAACTATCTGATGTAGATTGCCAACTTCCATCATTATTAACATGAGAATTATAAGGATGCCAACTTAATGGATTATAACCTCCAATTAACAGGCCATTTTCTTTTAATTTTGATATCATAATAGTCGAACCTTTGTTATCACATAATTCATGAAATTTTGCAGCTTCAAATCCATCTCTACTTGCACGATAAAGAAGTTTGAATAAATAAGGAGTACTTTTA